ATTTAGTTCATTTGGTTACATTAGCACAATTACACTTTGTATTAATCATAAAGGTTTCAGCTATTAGTATTATTGAATGAAACTTCGAAATCAGTCTTTTTCTTTATTTCCATGGAAACAATGGGTCAGACGAGGGAATCCTAGCAATCGGTAAAGTATGTCAGCTAACAAGGTCTGTTTCGTTGACCTTTGTTCTTGTTATCCAATCATTATCCTCATCGTCATTCTCTGTGGCAGCCTGTATTGAGTTCTTACGCCGGTTAAAAATAAGTCACAGTCTTATAATCTACACGAATTCAAACACTAATCCATTTGAGAGACAAGTACAGTTTGGCAGCTCACAACGCCTTTTACACTGGCATAACAACACTCCAACACAGCCATGGGTCTTGCATTATTTTTTCCTGTTTTGCCCTACATTTGGTAGGCTTCATTTTGCAATTGGTTGGAAAAGTCGTCAGCAAGGCTTTTAGGATCTTAGGATTAGATTAAAGGAAAGATTGGTGGGTAGTGAAATGGGATTTTCATTGAAATTTTTGGGTGAATCCAGAATGTTACATCATTTTTGCTTTTTTCTGCAGTCTCCTTGACTGAATTGTGTTCATTGTACCCATGACGTCATCGACGCCCTGATTGGCTAATACTGCACGCCCCCGTGCAAAACTTTGATTGACAGCTCAACGTCATCACTGCTGAACGCTGATTGGTCCATTTGTACCACGTGACCCGAATCCGGCTTTCTGATTGGTCTGTACCGTAGTGTCCCCCCTTACTACTCATTTTAATTTATTATGTAAGAATTACTAGCGATGACAGCAGTAGTTCCTGTTCAACAGACAAGAAGTGGACGAAAAACTGTACACTGCTCTACGTGATTCGCTGATTTTGTAATGCCGTTGTTATGTAAAGTAACTAATCGTATGATCAGTATGTTTCATGCATTCTAATAATTACTTTGCAGAGGATATAAGAGGAGATGTGAGGTGGGGGAGTTATCACGTAAATATTGAATACGGAAGGGGGAGTGACTTGCCACTTCTTGCAGCCGGTTCTTACAAATATTAAAATTTATAACCTGAATGATTTTCATTTTCATCTCTGAATTATCGTTATAATATCTAAGGTGACGAATTACTCTTTAATTTTGGCGTGAAATTTGAGCGTTAATTTGTAATTTCACATGTGTAAATCAACCATGCCAACCTTTCGTAGGTCCGAGTGCCAAGATGGCGACAAAGTTTTAAAATTTTATGAATAAAGATGTCAAGGCATTAGAAGACGCTTTGGAAAACCTAAACTCACGAAAGAGTACGTCCAGAAGGATTCTAACAAGTATTTTGTCAAGGCATTCCGAAAATTCTGAACTTGAGCCAAGTAGAAGCTCTAAACTTTTGAGAGCGTGAAGTTCTCCGATCGATGCGATAAAACCAGGATAAACTTGTCAAAAATCTACGATTTTAATCGTAATTCCTCACCTATGATATTAATAGGTAATGAAATAATATACTCGTGAAATTAGGGACGCCTTGTACACCAGACCTTTCGAAACAACCTTGACATACATGCCTGGTCTTGCATGACGGCCTAAGTCGGTGTATTCAGTGGTTCGGCCACTTTTATACAGGTCCCCAAAAGCTGTAACTCTGGAACTGCATCTACCACTGGGGCATTTTTTTGTGCCCATCACTTCAGCTGCATCACTATTTCTTAAACTGTGTACTTCTTCTGAATTCAACTGAGCAATAGCGGCATCGATAAAGTACTCTTGGTTATCGGTCCACCTCACATTATGGGAGATACCAGCATTATACCTTCCTATCACTCTGGGTGGTGTTGTCCTAAAACGTTTCTCCAAAACTCGTTCATGCCAATTACCATTCTCTAGGGTGTCCTCTCCTGCTCTCTTTCTCTCGGTTGAAGTGGTCTATTTTGATTGATCTTATGTCTTGAAATTTCCTTTTTAACAATTCAAACTCTTCAAGGATGCCAAATGAAAGCTGGGTTTTTTGGATAAAACAATACTTGCGCTTAATAATGTACTGTATCTGCTTCGTATATTCCTGTAAGTGGTAGTGTAGATGGTTCCGATAATCATCCAGAGCAAGGTGAATCCAACATATATTATTGATAACAATGCTAACTATTAAAATCCTATTTACACTTAATTCACTCAAAAAACACTATTCCGTTACAACACCATTTACAGTTCCTTTCATTTAAAAAGTAAAAACACTTAGGTTTGATCAGAAAAATTTCATTTAATTAAAAAAATATATAATAACAAAATAAAAGACTAAAATTTTGATGAAATGAAAATATGAAAATGATCCTAACGTACAAGCTCACGCCATTATCACATCCTAAAATTATCGGACACACGCTTGGCTAGCGTTTAAGGGGCAGTCATCAATGAAATCCCCTTGTGGAATTTTGTGCAAAAGTGTCCTGGAACCTCTTACGTATGTGTGTACCGACCTTTAAATCTCTGAAGAAAGCAAGGGTGAAGGGTAAAGCAAGGGCAAATAGAGCAGGGTAAATTATTTGTTGTGTGACAAGATGATTGTTTTCATATTTGACCTGCAGGAGTAGCTTAGCTTTAGTGTGTGGCGGTTAAAGATCTTGTGTAATGGGTGATTTTTCGGGAAGCATCTGTCAACGATATTTAGGAATCTTCTTCCGAGGTTGGTCTTCATGCGGTTATATCATATCACTCTTCTTTGGCGATTTTTGTTGCGCCTTTGAGCTGGCTGTGGGTTATATGTTAGCTTGCAGGTGTAGGCACTTTCGTCAAGGGCTTTTTGGTTAGGAGGGATGGCTGCATCAAAAACTTTTTAGCTTGATGAAATGCTTGTTAGTCGCTTGTTCCTTTTTTCCGGGATATTCTTTAATAGTGCAGGCGGGTGGTTGCTCTGACGGTTGAAAAATCATGAAACAACGCTAACGCAAAGTCCATCGGCCAGTACCCCAAAAGTTTGGAATTCTTATCGCTCTTGGAGACAAAGGCTATCATAGCCTCTTAAAAACTTTGGTCCCACTACTTTATTCTTATGTGATAGCCACGACATCGGTGTAACTTTCTTGTGTGAATCACGTGATAAAATGACGTCACCGATGTAATAGAATAGTTCCTTTCCTGACTGAGTATGGCAAAACAAGATGCTTCTTGAATTGTGAGCAAGCATTGATTTAAATACCGTAAATAGATGCAGAAGGATGTTTCAAGTTCGAGACTTTTAAGAAATGATGTTGTTTCGGGTGTCTATGGCAACAAAGTCCTACTTAAAAAAGGGTTTCTTCATGGTCCGTTTCCGGTTTTGCTTGTTTTTCACTTTTTTCTCTCTGCATTTAATCTTTACCGCCTACTCCTATTTGACGCTAACTGTTTTACGACAAACTTAATTTCAGTTTCTTGTAGCATTTGGAAACATTTGAATTAAATGATGTCTTAAAAGACGACTTTTGTGAAAGCTATTTAGTTCATTTGGTTACATTAGCACAATTACACTTTGTATTAATCATAAAGGTTTCAGCTATTAGTATTATTGAATGAAACTTCGAAATCAGTCTTTTTCTTTATTTCCATGGAAACAATGGGTCAGACGAGGGAATCCTAGCAATCGGTAAAGTATGTCAGCTAACAAGGTCTGTTTCGTTGACCTTTGTTCTTGTTATCCAATCATTATCCTCATCGTCATTCTCTGTGGCAGCCTGTATTGAGTTCTTACGCCGGTTAAAAATAAGTCACAGTCTTATAATCTACACGAATTCAAACACTAATCCATTTGAGAGACAAGTACAGTTTGGCAGCTCACAACGCCTTTTACACTGGCATAACAACACTCCAACACAGCCATGGGTCTTGCATTATTTTTTCCTGTTTTGCCCTACATTTGGTAGGCTTCATTTTGCAATTGGTTGGAAAAGTCGTCAGCAAGGCTTTTAGGATCTTAGGATTAGATTAAAGGAAAGATTGGTGGGTAGTGAAATGGGATTTTCATTGAAATTTTTGGGTGAATCCAGAATGTTACATCATTTTTGCTTTTTTCTGCAGTCTCCTTGACTGAATTGTGTTCATTGTTATGTTTTTTGAAAGATGTCTTCACCCCACATACGTTAGCGGAGAAAGTTACCCTTTACTGTTAGAACTCATAAAAGGGACGTAGATCGCCATAGGCAGTTACGGGCAATTCAGGGTCGAATTTGTTAAGAAAACAAATTATATTAATGCATGGAAATATGTCATTACTTCAGTAGCATACAAGGTATACAATTAGCATGTGATTGTGACGATGAGAATAGATAACTGCAGTGTGTGTAAAACAGAGGTGGCAATATGTGAGACTGTACGTACTTGGAACAGACAATTGTTGGTTGTGAGTATCAATACGTATCTGTATTAAGCGTGTAAATTTTAGAGAGCCTTAAGTGTGGTACAGTATATACAGTTAAGTGTGCACACAGGGTTGCACTGTACTTGTGTAACGTCAACACATAGTACCAGCTGGGTCCTTTTGCTGTCTCTTTTTGAGAACTTTCTCCCTATGTGTCAGTGTTTTATTCATCAACAGGTTTTTTTGGTGTGTAAATTATTGGTACAGTAATTGTGTAGTTTTGGTTGTATTATCTAGTGAATTTTACAACAACTTTACCTTTTACAATGTTTAATGTTTCATTCCACTTTCTACGGAATTTTAGCGCTTGTAGACGGCAAAGAGTTCTTTCTATTTGCTTTGAAATAATGATAAACACATGACATAAAAAAGCATAGTTGTTATCTTCTGTGCTGATCTTTCGTATCTATAAAAAACATGGAGATCCATCATGTTGATGCTCTTTCTGCAGTTTTGTAATATCCAGGGTTTGTCTTTTAAGTGATGGTTAGATTGAAGTTCGTTGAAAACTGAGTATTTTGGACAGACGAGTTTGTTTAGTTTAGACAACAATTATTGCTATTATCTTATTTTTGTCGGCTGTGTATAAACTTGGGCTACTCTTCTACAGATTTTTTCAGCAGATCGTAAAACATAGTGCATTGATGGTGGATAATATTCAAACATGGGGGTCCCTGAAAGTAAAGCACATGAAAGGAAGAGTCAATATAATGATTTCACTGTCGTTTCTCTTTTACATTTATATCATAAATCTATCTCAGTAGACGTAGATTTTTTATGTTTTTGTTCATGTTTATGTCCACAGAAAATTCATGCGATTGACAGTTTTGGACAAGATATCAGTAAAAATATTCATTTAATTTCCTTTCAGGAAGGAACAGAGGTTTTTTATTATTAGATTCGTGGCAGGAGTTGCTAACACACTTCCGAAACATTTTTACTCTTAATTTCATCCTTTAGAAACCCTTTTCCTCACGAAACTTGCCTTATGTTATATGTATGCTTTAAGAGCATCCCAGTTTTGATGTAAGCACTTCACTCAAGTAGTTATACCTACCAGTGATATTATTTCTTCCCATATTTCCAAAGTGTTGTTTTGCAAACAGTCGTTTGTTATTGAAATTGTCTGTTCTTTTTCCCAGCCATGTTTGGCATTGACAACTAACGTTGAAAGACAAAAATTTCAAAAATAAACAACCAAAGAATACCATTTATTGCATAGTGTTGTATTTCATTTGTATCTCGGTACGTGTGCGCGTAAAATTTTATTTTGAGCGCGCGCATTATTTGTTTATTTATTTAATTGACGGGTACATTTTAGTTCGTTTATTAACGTCTTAATTTTACTTTGCGTTATTTTCCTCACTTATACATTGTCCGTGACTGTGCTCACATCGTGGGTGGCTCCTCCTAAAATGTTCTGCAATTGGTATAGGATTTAATGGAGCCGAAACCAATTGTGGAATTGCATGCATTTTAGGCATCCTACTGATGAACAGTTGCGACACGTATATATATATATATATATTTTTAGCAACTAAGATAATTTGCAGTCTGTCTACTTTGACTGCCTTGATGGCAAATGAAAAAAAGTTGCCAAATCCAAATAATGAAGGTACTGAACATCAAAATAATTTGTTTCTTACTTATATAATTATAAAATGCAAGAGCTCAGCAACAACACTGAGTGCCCGTCAAAAATAGTGTATTTGATGTTAAAGTTTACAAACAGAATATTGTGTTCTTGTTGTAAAAGAAGTGAACTTTCACCTGGTTTTTTCTGTCTCCTCAAGGCACCATGTTGGCTCAACAAAAAGAATTTTCATGTCCCCAGATTGGTCAACGTGTTCTGGTGCCTTTGGTGTGAGAAAAGCTGAGCAGGCAGTACAGCTTCCAGTGCTAGTCCTCCTAGCTTTACCATCAGCAGTGGTTCTCCTAAGTACAAATAACTTTTGACCAGTAGCAAGATGCACAATTTCTTTCAAAGACTTCACTTGCTGTTAAACCTTCTCACCACAAGCTTTGGTGGTATCATAGTCATCCCCACCCATCCACAATCCTATATGATTTAAAAAAATTATTTTCAGTTTTAAAAATTTGAAGCTGTAACTGCTGTACCTCAGTCTGTAACTGAGGCACTGAAAGTGAGTGGAAAACTAACCAGACAACAGGGTTGGAATAAGTGCTATTGTTTAATAGCACAAAACATTTTGTTATATGGAAGTGAGTTAAAAAAGTTGATGTTGTTTACCAATATCTGGAGTCTTCGGAGTTATTAAGTTTGTCTCAGGCTGAGATTTTGTTGTTCCGTAATACAACAGCAGGAGTTGGGAATTTGATTTAAAGTAGCAAGTGTAGTAATGATTTTGACATGCACAATAAATATTGCTCTAGGGTGGGAAATTTCAGTGAGTTACCATCTTCAAAAGTAGGGAACACTAAGTGTCAAGGCTCGACAAACAAATAATGATTGTTACAAAATATCAAGTACACATTTAAATGAGTTTTTTGTCCGGTTTAAGAGAATAAAAAAATACTCAGTCTAAGACTTCATGTGTCTACTGCAGTACTGGTATAGAAATGTAATATAAAAGAATTGAAGAAAAGAAAATAAGACTGAAATGAAAATGAAGAGGGAGGAGTGGAAATAGAATGGGGATATAAAAGAAAACTTTGTAAAAATGTTGCACAGAATACTGGTGAGAAGAGATTAAGCTGGTACCTTTTACCGCAAACATTTTGTATGAAGAGAACTTTAACTTTATTCTAACATAAACGACATATTATATAATCTTACAACATGAACCACTACTTTGTACTGAAAGCAATGCAGCAAAGTTCTAATCTGAAACGTGGGCATAAAATGCAACAGAAACTATTAATCTATAGTGAACTTATCAATGGCAAGTATCATACTTTAAGAGATACAGTATTACAGAAGTTGTGTAACAACTTTACTAGATCTGTCCACAAGCATGGTGATGGGCCCAGATTTTAAAAGAGAGAGCCGAAGGGAATTTTCGATCTCTCAGGGTTCGCACAGTCTTGAAAAGTCCTTGAATTTTAGGGGAAGTCCTTGAAAAGTCCTTGAATTCCATTTTTCCTTGAAAAGTCCTTAAATTTCTGTGCAAGTCCTTGAAAAGAGCTTGAATTTTCTTCAATTAGGATTAGATTAAAGGAAAGATTGGTGGGTAGTGAAATGGGATTTTCATTGAAATTTTTGGGTGAATCCAGAATGTTACATCATTTTTGCTTTTTTCTGCAGTCTCCTTGACTGAATTGTGTTCATTGTCATGTTTTTTGAAAGATGTCTTCACCCCACATACGTTAGCGGAGAAAGTTACCCTTCACTGTTAGAACTCATAAAAGGGACGTAGATCGCCATAGGCAGTTACGGGCAATTCAGGGGCGAATTTGTTAAGAAAACAAATTATATTAATGCATGGAAATATGTCATTACTTCAGTAGCATACAAGGTATACAATTAGCATGTGATTTTGACGATGAGAATAGATAACTGCAGTGTGTGTAAAACAGAGGTGGCAATATGTGAGACTGTACGTACTTGGAACAGACAATTGTTGGTTGTGAGTATCAATACGTATCTGTATTAAGCGTGTAAATTTTAGAGAGCCTTAAGTGTGGTACAGTATATACAGTTAAGTGTGCACACAGGGTTGCACTGTACTTGTGTAACGTCAACACATAGTACCAGCTGGGTCTTTTTGCTGTCTCTTTTTGAGAACTTTCTCCCTATGTGTCAGTGTTTTATTCATCAACAGGTTTTTTTGGTGTGTAAATTATTGGTACAGTAATTGTGTAGTTTTGGTTGTATTATCTAGTGAATTTTACAACAACTTTACCTTTTACAATGTTTAATGTTTCATTCCACTTTCTACGGAATTTTAGCGCTTGTAGACGGCAAAGAGTTCTTTCTATTTGCTTTGAAATAATGATAAACACATGACATAAAAAAGCATAGTTGTTATCTTCTGTGCTGATCTTTCGTATCTATAAAAAACATGGAGATCCATCATGTTGATGCTCTTTCTGCAGTTTTGTAATATCCAGGGTTTGTCTTTTAAGTGATGGTTAGATTGAAGTTCGTTGAAAACTGAGTATTTTGGACAGACGAGTTTGTTTAGTTTAGACAACAATTATTGCTATTATCTTATTTTTGTCGGCTGTGTATAAACTTGGGCTACTCTTCTACAGATTTTTTCAGCAGATCGTAAAACATAGTGCATTGATGGTGGATAATATTCAAACATGGGGGTCCCTGAAAGTAAAGCACATGAAAGGAAGAGTCAATATAATGATTTCACTGTCGTTTCTCTTTTACATTTATATCATAAATCTATCTCAGTAGACGTAGATTTTTTATGTTTTTGTTCATGTTTATGTCCACAGAAAATTCATGCGATTGACAGTTTTGGACAAGATATCAGTAAAAATATTCATTTAATTTCCTTTCAGGAAGGAACAGAGGTTTTTTATTATTAGATTCGTGGCAGGAGTTGCTAACACACTTCCGAAACATTTTTACTCTTAATTTCATCCTTTAGAAACCCTTTTCCTCACGAAACTTGCCTTATGTTATATGTATGCTTTAAGAGCATCCCAGTTTTGATGTAAGCACTTCACTCAAGTAGTTATACCTACCAGTGATATTATTTCTTCCCATATTTCCAAAGTGTTGTTTTGCAAACAGTCGTTTGTTATTGAAATTGTCTGTTCTTTTTCCCAGCCATGTTTGGCATTGACAACTAACGTTGAAAGACAAAAATTTCAAAAATAAACAACCAAAGAATACCATTTATTGCATAGTGTTGTATTTCATTTGTATCTCGGTACGTGTGCGCGTAAAATTTTATTTTGAGCGCGCGCATTATTTGTTTATTTATTTAATTGACGGGTACATTTTAGTTCGTTTATTAACGTCTTAATTTTACTTTGCGTTATTTTCCTCACTTATACATTGTCCGTGACTGTGCTCACATCGTGGGTGGCTCCTCCTAAAATGTTCTGCAATTGGTATAGGATTTAATGGAGCCGAAACCAATTGTGGAATTGCATGCATTTTAGGCATCCTACTGATGAACAGTTGCGACACGTATATATATATATATATATTTTTAGCAACTAAGATAATTTGCAGTCTGTCTACTTTGACTGCCTTGATGGCAAATGAAAAAAAGTTGCCAAATCCAAATAATGAAGGTACTGAACATCAAAATAATTTGTTTCTTACTTATATAATTATAAAATGCAAGAGCTCAGCAACAACACTGAGTGCCCGTCAAAAATAGTGTATTTGATGTTAAAGTTTACAAACAGAATATTGTGTTCTTGTTGTAAAAGAAGTGAACTTTCACCTGGTTTTTTCTGTCTCCTCAAGGCACCATGTTGGCTCAACAAAAAGAATTTTCATGTCCCCAGATTGGTCAACGTGTTCTGGTGCCTTTGGTGTGAGAAAAGCTGAGCAGGCAGTACAGCTTCCAGTGCTAGTCCTCCTAGCTTTACCATCAGCAGTGGTTCTCCTAAGTACAAATAACTTTTGACCAGTAGCAAGATGCACAATTTCTTTCAAAGACTTCACTTGCTGTTAAACCTTCTCACCACAAGCTTTGGTGGTATCATAGTCATCCCCACCCATCCACAATCCTATATGATTTAAAAAAATTATTTTCAGTTTTAAAAATTTGAAGCTGTAACTGCTGTACCTCAGTCTGTAACTGAGGCACTGAAAGTGAGTGGAAAACTAACCAGACAACAGGGTTGGAATAAGTGCTATTGTTTAATAGCACAAAACATTTTGTTATATGGAAGTGAGTTAAAAAAGTTGATGTTGTTTACCAATATCTGGAGTCTTCGGAGTTATTAAGTTTGTCTCAGGCTGAGATTTTGTTGTTCCGTAATACAACAGCAGGAGTTGGGAATTTGATTTAAAGTAGCAAGTGTAGTAATGATTTTGACATGCACAATAAATATTGCTCTAGGGTGGGAAATTTCAGTGAGTTACCATCTTCAAAAGTAGGGAACACTAAGTGTCAAGGCTCGACAAACAAATAATGATTGTTACAAAATATCAAGTACACATTTAAATGAGTTTTTTGTCCGGTTTAAGAGAATAAAAAAATACTCAGTCTAAGACTTCATGTGTCTACTGCAGTACTGGTATAGAAATGTAATATAAAAGAATTGAAGAAAAGAAAATAAGACTGAAATGAAAATGAAGAGGGAGGAGTGGAAATAGAATGGGGATATAAAAGAAAACTTTGTAAAAATGTTGCACAGAATACTGGTGAGAAGAGATTAAGCTGGTACCTTTTACCGCAAACATTTTGTATGAAGAGAACTTTAACTTTATTCTAACATAAACGACATATTATATAATCTTACAACATGAACCACTACTTTGTACTGAAAGCAATGCAGCAAAGTTCTAATCTGAAACGTGGGCATAAAATGCAACAGAAACTATTAATCTATAGTGAACTTATCAATGGCAAGTATCATACTTTAAGAGATACAGTATTACAGAAGTTGTGTAACAACTTTACTAGATCTGTCCACAAGCATGGTGATGGGCCCAGATTTTAAAAGAGAGAGCCGAAGGGAATTTTCGATCTCTCAGGGTTCGCACAGTCTTGAAAAGTCCTTGAATTTTAGGGGAAGTCCTTGAAAAGTCCTTGAATTCCATTTTTCCTTGAAAAGTCCTTAAATTTCTGTGCAAGTCCTTGAAAAGAGCTTGAATTTTCTTCAACTTTGAATGTAGTAGCCTGGAAATAATTTTTTGATGCTTTTTGGTTGTCCAAGACAGGATATAAATCGTAGCTCAGTGAATGTAAAGGTCATTTACATAAAGTGCTCCATGTTTTAGGCAATAATTAACTATCAGTTTAAGACAAGTGAACTGAAAAATGTAGAGAATTTGGTGAAGCAAACAGTTAATGCCTTAAAGTCTTATCAGAATATACTGGGAATATGCATTTTTGTACAATCTGTGAAATTATATTCCTAGTAGGTTGTCCTTGAAAATCTAATGTGGTCCTTGAAAAGTCCTTGAAAAATGGTTGCAATTTTTTGTATGAACCCTGTCTCTCGAAGGAGATTATGAGCTCCCCGTAGGGAATTTGACCCTTGAAAAGAGTTACACATGATCGAGCGACGACCAAACGGACATTAAACGCGTTGAACTGCAGAGGAAACTGAATCCGCATGGACATTGGCATCAAAATCCTTCGACTGAATGTTTCTTTTGCTGGCATAAAATCGCCCCAAACCGTAAGAAAACCTGACAAACTCTTTAGAAATAAATAATTTACAAATGCATGGAAAGCTGTGCGCGGTTATTGATGCGAAATAGGACGAAAACGTTGTGGAAAATACAATTCGACTCACCTTCAACTGGAATAAAATTTACCAAATCTCAAAAAGCACATGGTAAAGAAGTAGGGTTAACGTCGCAATCGATATAACGCCGTCCAGCACACGTCGCTGCCGAAGTATCGTCGAACCATCTCATAAGGACCTCGTAATCCGTCTCCTAAACAACAGTAAGCGACCGATTGATGATCATACCTCGGCTTCCGGAAATACAGTCGCTTAGATCCCGGTCAGTCTCGGATTAGCGTCGGCTTTCGATCGGATTCCATTTGGGATTCCTGTGGTATTTACACTCTTTCACTCTATCACTCGACCCGATGACATAGTGTCTACGCTTCTCTATCAATAATAGAATTCTATAATAGAATTCTGCATTCTATGCTGGAAATGGCCTCAGGATTGTTTGTCAGCAGAACTTTTTAACTGCGGCAGGATTAGCTCAGTCGGCAGAGCGCTTGACTGCAGAGCGGGAGGTCGCGGGTTCGATTCCTGGGACCCGGACCAATACTCAGGGTCTTAAAAATAACTAAAAATTCAAGGTACTGCCTTAACGGCTAGACTTTCGCGTGGCTCGGATGACCACGTAAAATGGCGGTCCCCTCACTGGTAGGAGACGTTAATATAGTGTTCCCAATTAGTGCTTTCCTGCTAAATACAGTGACCCTCAAATTTTGTTTTTCATTTTTGGATTGTGCAATCCATGCTTTGTATTGCACAGTCTGGCCACGTACTTCAGTAGAGATTCTTTATCAAGGAACTTAGATTCAAGATTCCAATGATTGGTGCGATTCCAGATTGTAGATTAGCAAAAAAATCTAAGATTCTAGACAAGCGAAACTTTAGCAGGTTCCAGATTTTTTATATTTAATAATTTCCCATTAAACATAAGTGATTTCTTTTTTAAATAATTTAAAAATATATATTTTCTTTCTCAGGTTTGAGAATATTCACACAAAAGCTTATACTAAGAGTTGCTTTACACTTACGTGTTTTTTACTAGATGCCATCTTGCAACAACCTTTTGATTTGGGGAAAAATTAAAAAAGCATAGAGATGTATGTATAGAACAGTCCTGGAATTCTGTGTTAGATTTGCTAATATTTAAGGCCAAATGTAGTTTGCTTTTTCGATGAATTATTAACAAAGTAGCTTAATTGTCTAGCTGTCATAAAATATCAGAACACATTATGAATAGCTTTTGCAATACTCTATGTGCTCGTATGGCCCTACAAATAAAGGCTGTTGTTGTTATTGACCCACGTCTAAGTTACCCTCGGAGGGCATGGCCTAACCTTACAAAGACTGCAATGACCGTATGATAATGTGAGTAAACCTGTGAAGAGCACAGCGACCCGGGGGAGGGGAGGGGAGAACGGAGTCTTTTAGGTGGAAAATGTGCTTTTAGTACCGTGATCAAGTCATGTCTTCTCTGTAAAGTTGTCATAAAACAATCATGACTCATGATTTAATAGCTCCGAACTTTCTCAAAACCAATAAACAGTAGCACCTCAAAACACGAGTTTTTGCACTCATTACATGATAACTTATGAAACCTGTTTTACAGGAAAAGTCAACACATGTTCATGCAAACGTACAACGAAAGAATACGTTCATGGTTTGGTTACTACGGAAGTGGAAAATTGAACATCAGACTGAACGCAGCTGTATTTTGTTAAGTCAGTAGTAAGGGGGGCCACCTGGGGCTCGACCAATCAGAAAGCCGGATTTAGGTCACGTGGTACAAATGGACCAATCAGCGTTAAGCAGGTCATGTGACCTGTCAATCAAAGTTTGGCACGGGTGCGTGCAGTATGAGCCAATCAGGGCTTAGATGACGTCATGAGCGTGTGGTCATGGGTGTGGTCGATGACATCATAGGGGTGTGGTCGATGACGTCATAGGAGTGATGACGTGTTGTAAAAGTGACCTAGTGTCACGTTGGGGTGTGGCCCTGTAACCCTATAGCCTTGTTACCCTCACTCTAACCCTAAGGGCTCTTATATATGAAGACGAACCTGATGGCTCGTCCATGTGGTAACCCTAAGAGAGAATTCACGAGGGCGCATGCGCACTAGAGACCCTTGGGTTTTTGGGGGGTAAACGGTGTTCCCCTCGGCCCTGACCCCTAGGGCTAGGCTGGGGCCGGGTCGAGGTCCCCCCCGGGCGGTCACGTGATGATTCCCTAGCGAATTCAAACTTAATTAAAAAAAATTAAACGCATGTTTTTTTGCACAGGTGTCAAACTGAGGTTTATTCTGATAACCCTAAGTTTACAAACGGGAACGTGTGCCCGACCCTACGGGTGTGGGGCGTCCCTACCATGATTTTTTAAAATGGGCACGGTTCTGGAACGAAAGGCAAGTCCTCCTCCCAGTCTTCTAAGGGAGAGTCTACGTCCGAGAACAGGATGGACAGGACCATGTCGTCCACGATGTCCTGACTGGGTCGATAGCCGTAGGGGTACGTCATGCCGGTATTGGCATCCAGTACTCGTTTGTCTTGGACCATGCAGTAGGTCTTGAGTTGCGGCACGGGATGGAGCGTCTTGTCGGTGACGTTCCATACGATGTGATGGGGGTTGTCGACGGACAGCGTTCTGGGACGATCGAGAGGTTCCTCGATGTCTTTTTGCACCAGGTTTCGGACGCTCTCGAAGTTCAGGACGGCTTGTCCCCGGGCGTCCAGGGTGAAGCCGCGCACCTTGCAACATTCTTGTCCCGAACGGGTACGGTAGGCGTAATTTTTGGGTCCGCCGGCCACGAATTCGTCGATGACGTCGCCTTTCAGTTCGTCCTTGAATTGGCCCAGGAAACGTCCTCGCGGCAGGTGGGTCTCGCCTTGGGTGGCCAGGTACACCACGGAATCCGTGTCCATGTACAGCACGCGGGTGTCCAGGGGGAGCAGCCCGTCCTGATACAGTTTGACGCGCGCGTGGGCCGTGGTGAAGGCGGCCACGAAGATGTTGGTGTTGGTGCCCAGTTCGCCCACGGCTTCTTTGAACGAGTGGTACACGTCAATCATCTGTTCGCCGGCCGGCAGGATGCGATGGATGTCGCGTTTGCCGTCCAGGAAGAGGTCGAAGAAGGTCTCGGGGTCCTTGCAGGTGGTCACTTGGGTCTTGTTGGTGCGTTGACCGAATTTGCCCCAGAAACTGTTGGCCATCAATTTGCCCAGCGTGCGTCGACCCTCGTTGCGTTCGATCTTGGCCGGGTTTAGGATCACCCCTTCGACGCGCCGAAACTCTTCCAGGTACTCGATTTGCAAGGCGGGATCTTTTTCCACCTCGGGCGAGGGCCAGCCGTCGGCTTCCTGTTTCACCTTGATCCAGGTATTGATGTAATCCCTGAACAGGGTGGTGGAGGTCTGACGAAAGTCCCACAGTTCGTAGATGTGGAGAATCACGTACCCTTGGTCCAGGGCCAGCACCAATTCGGGCGTGCACCAAGTCGCCACGAAAGCTCGTTCGCGAGGAGTGTGGTTGCAGATGTGGGTGCGTTCCGTCCAGGGTAAGGGCACTTGTTGTCGGGCGCATTGGACGCACAGGGGAAACAGCAAGTTGCCAGCCACGCGGACGGGCAGCACGGGATGAAACAGGTAGTGAGGCGGCAGGACGCGACATTGGACCAACCCGTACGATTGTTGGCGCACCAGTCGGTCCCAGTCTTCGGGTGTCTGGCAAGTAAACTGCGTGTGAATGACGGGATGGCCCACAGGGTACTTGCAGTTCTTACTGACCCACGGGTACAGGGACGTGAAATCGTCGTAGAAGATGTGTTGGTCCGGCTGGGCCTGACAGTGAGCTCGCACGGCTTCGGTCCGTCCGCCGAAGAAGGCGTCTCGGGGATCCAGGGGCGTCACCAGATCCAGGGTCTTGGCCCACAGGCGCAATTCGGGATCTTCCCTCTTTTTGTCTTCCCACTCGCACTCCCATTTTTCGATCACCACGTGTCCGCCTTGACGAATACTCTCGGCTCGCTGGACCGTGCGCGTGTACAGTTCGTGGGGCGTGGCCCCGTCGAGTTTGGTGTGCCGCTGGTGTCGCAGGGGAAAACATTCGGGGCACCCGTGGTAGAAACACCCGTAGAATTCGTACACGAACCCGGTGCGCGGATCGTAGCCGTCCGCGTGGTAGCGACGTTCGCCGATCAGGAACAGCACTTCGCCTCCGTTACGACTGTGACGTAGGCGGGGTTCCCCGTCCGTGGGTGGGGGCAGGATGCGTTCCAGGTGGTACAACCATTCCAAGGCGACTCTCGATTGACGGATCTGTGGATGCCAGCCGTGCAGGGGTTCGACGGACAGGGTTCTGGGCCGCATCCAATGGCGACGAGAGGCCACGTTACAAGCCGAGGCGATGGTGATGCATTGTTCGAAGGGGTCGAACCCGCAAATGCCCCTGAATTCGCGCTCGAAGAGGGTACACGCCTGTTTCAGGATCCTGACGTCGGACTGACAGTATTTCAACAGTTCGGCTTGCAGGTTAAAGACGCGATTCGACGCCACTTGGTCCGCGTACCATCGTTCGAAGTCGGCGCGACGGGCCGGTTTCATGCCGTCGGGATCGTAATACTGTTTGTCCGGCATGGCCCCCACGTACTGCTGCAAGGTGGGAGTGTTAAAGAAGTGGGGAAAGAACCCCTTGGCTTCTTCCTGCAAGCCGAAGGTCTGGGGAAACGAGGCTAGGGCCATGGGGAAAAAGTTCAAACTATCGATGAATTTGATGTCGCCGGGAATGGAGACGCTCAACAGTTTGGCCCCGTTGACGATCTGCGAAGCCACCACCGCTTGTTTGTACAGTTCCTCGAGCAACAGGTAACCGTCGTACCCTTGGAAATTATGCGCGATCAACACGAACGGGCGGCGTCCGGGGTCCGTCACTCTCAGGTTCCACACCCAGGCCATGAAGTCTTGCATGGACGGAAACTGGTAGCGTCGATCGTCCAGACTGGTCTCGGCGCATACCAGGTTCACGCGATGCGCCTCCCCTCCTTCCTGCATGCACTCGCAGTCGAAAAAGATTTTGACGACGGCCTGTTCCTCCTCGGGCACGGGTCCCGGCTGGTCGGTGCTGGTGGAGGGGTGTTTGCGTTTGGGGCCTCGACGATTTTGAATGGGTTGGATGAAACATTTGTGGGCCCACACGTCCACCGTGGCTTTGCAATTGTAGCACGCTTGATAGCCGCAGAGGTGACTGAGAAAGTCTTGGAATCGCTTGAAGGTGCGTCCGCAGTGCCCGCAACACCGTAGTTGGGCACACACGTTGTCGAAGGTCAGCGGGTGGACCCTGTCGCCACTGGGAGAACGGATGGTGTGCAATTCGAGGCACCGAGGACCAAAGAAACGGCGATGACAATGGGGGCACAGTTCGTTGGCGGCGTCTCGGGCAGGGTGGGTGACAAAGTCCGAGCAGTCCGTTTGTTGGCAGCAATAACACTTGAAGCCGGGACACCGATGATGACGAAAGTCCCTGGTCTTGTACCCTTTGCGGCACTGTAAGCAAAAGTAGTTTACGCCATAATAGGCGTTCAATTTGGTAATGACGTCGTAATGTCCCTGGTGAGCTAAGAGAATGAGTTGGTACTGGGAGGTCGGGCCGCAATGCACGATGGCATTCCCGTGATCGGCCGAGACCACGATGTCTTGGTAGTCGGGCAACACTTTTTCGAAGGCCCGTATTTCGGGCAACCCGCAAGGCCCTTCGGGTACTTTGGCCAATTGATGCAATTCGCGGGCTTTGGTCGTTTGGAGATTACGTCCGTGCCGGATGCAATTGAAATCACACGAGTGTTGGGCACTTTGATCCTTGTGTCGGTGGGCTCGTGCCGTCACCAGAGCCCGCGCAACAGAGATCGTCCTTGTTGGTGATCTCGATACAACTGTTTTTGGCCTTGACCATCGTGGCAAAGACATCGGACCCGAGTTTACGACGGCCCGTGCCGCGCGGTGGGCGCACGTAGGTCAAGTCCACCACGAACGTATCGTCCACGGCAAAGTCCTCGTTGGAGTTCAAGAGGGCCGTCATCTGTTCGAGCAGATGCCGCTCGGGCCCTTGCGTGTGTCGCCAATCTCTCACGCGTACGCGGGCACTGGTAAAATTATTGGCCAAGCGGTTGGATCCCAGGTAGATCTGTAAATAATCGTCGTCGTGCCACGGCCGCGATTGGTCTCGGATGGCTTGGCCCAGGGCGCGAATCACTTCCTCCGAGGCGTCGCCCGAACTGGGTTGTCCTTGCAGTCGTGCCCGGAACGTTTGCCAGGTGACGCCGAACGAGGGGCGGTGACGGACGGTGTAGGGAGTGAGCTGGAACCGCAGCCCGCCACCGGATTGTCCTTCGGCGGCTTGTAACGCTTGCAGACACGCTTCGTCGTCGCTGCTGCTGGTGGTCGGCAGGCGTTCGTCGCACTGCAATTGGCGTCGACTGTTCAGTTCGTCGCTGTCCGGGGTCGACTCGCTGGAGGTGCCCTGAAGGTTTGAGAAAAAACAAACCGAGTCAAGTTAGTCCCGAGAAAAAGACAATGCATCAGTGGATGGAACGACAGTGGGAAAAGTGGGAAGTAACCGTGTGAAGGGAGGGAAGGGAATGGTGTGAGAGACAAAAAAAGAGGGGGAAAAAATGGAGGGAAAAAGATGGAGGAAGGTGATGGCCAAAGGGCGAGAAAGACATGTGGGGAAACAGGACACAGACCGACATTCAAAATGGATCAACAAGTAGAAAACATGGAGGAAAAGAGGGGGAAGAAAGTAGCGTAGGGTGACTTGGTCCAACAGTACAACTGGGGTCAAACCAGGAATGATTTGAGTTGTCAATGGATCCAACTACTCCAACCGGCAGACCGACTACTCCCAAGAGCCTTCAGTTGACAAACCTATAGGCCCTGACACGCAGAACACACCACCAAGACACTTGGGGTGGCCAAGCTCCTTTCTCCAGGAACGTAGCGCAGGTGATGATGGAGGTACAACCCTATTCAGAACAGGCATACCACAGCAGCAATGCACACCCACATGGCTCATGCCAGTTGTGCCACCAATTCCCAGGGATAAAAAAACACCTCAAGGAAGTTAGGAGAAACCCACCTTGAACACGAGTGTCAGCCATGTGCAGTAAACCTCGACAAGCTGACCCGAGTCAACGGAAAAAAAGCTCTCTAGCCTCTCAAGTCCCAGTGACCCTAACCTGATATCACCGCCAAAGAGAGACCTTCAGATCGACTGATTCTGCTGCCACGCCCAACAGAAAAAGTGTTCACACACACACACACACACACATGCGATGCCAAAGAAGCAGAGGGTTGTCCCCTTCCTATCTGTCAAAATCAACAGACGAAACCAGCGTCATGAAAGGCCCAAGCTACACAGGGAGAATCCCTCGAACGGGGAAGTCCAAACCACTTACTTGTCCTTGAACTCCAACTTGCCCGTGAACTCCAACCCAAAATGCTGCTGATGATAAAGGAGACAGCGTCCATGTCAGAGCTTGGAGGGCTCGTCGGGCTCTCCCAAAAGCACCGGCGATCAGAGATCTTAACAGCAAAGGAGGAAAGGCGTCCATGAAGGATCGACGGTCTCCTCCGCCAAAGAGAGGAAAAGCGATGGCAAAAGCAACCCACTTCTCCTAAAAAACTCGGGACCAGCTGGTCCCGACAGACCAACAGTAGAAGAATCAGATCCAACCCAATAGTCACCATCGTCGACAGCGTCCATCGGCCAAACATGAAGTAGAACCAACACACCTGTACCTACCAATGACAGGTATGCACGAACACCATGTTGTTCCATACCACACAAGGATGGGGTGGTTTCGTGCAGTGACCTACCTTGCAAAGCCCAGGAAAATCTCCCTAATCATGTCCCACAAAACCAATGGAGCTCTGACCGTCCAATGGACCTCGATGACGAACTTCCACGAATCCAAATAAGGGCAGCTGGAATGAATCAGGAACCCTGTGGCAGTGAAAATGAATGATTCAGGAACCTATGCCAGTGACTGACGAAAGACTTGCTTGGGTCTAGGGTCCTTGGCAGAACAAGCAGTCAACACACCAACCGATGAAGAAAGGCTGGAACAGATGTCCCACCCAAATACGACTGCAGGTGGAATGGACTTGCTTGGTTTCGCACGAAAGGCTATGGAAAGGTCTTTTCTGGTTCTCGTTGAGTGGTGTCATCAGTGTCCAGGTCACAGTGTTCCCCCAAACACAACGCGTTCGACTCGTCAGGCTTTCTCTGTAAGGAGACGACCCTCCACTTCCATTTCTTCCGAGACAAGGACAAGCCATGGAAAAACGAGAGCGCACAAACAGAGAGAGCTATCCATCCAAGAAGCACCAAGAAGTCGATGTTTCGCCCAAGACACGTCACGTACTCGAGGATTCATCAGGGATGGTTACAGAAGGCCATTACCAAAAAAGTCACCAAAGAAGCCAATCAACGGGTTGTGATCATGTGAGGAAAGCACAGACGAACGCATCGAAGGATGGCCCCTGGGACAAGGGAGACTGATGGTACAAGGAATACTACCTGGGGAGAGTTGCGATGTCAAGTCCACTTGGTCCAGTCTGACAAGTTGGGGACCTGTCACTGAAGCAAGACCACTCCCAGTACACGGAAACACCCCTTGGAATGAGTCACTGTTTGCAATACCACGCCCCCTTGGAAAAAGTCATCCCCAAACCCTGTCTCCTCTGTGGTGGAGGTGTGACCCCATTCAGACGAAACCACTTCTCTAGGCAAAGATGGGTACAGTGATGGTAAAGCCAACATCAGGCTGGTCAAGTCCTCGCAGCTTAACGACGTCTGCTCGGCGAACAACAGTCTACAAGATGACAGCAAGGGTGTGGTCACAACCGGGGGAACTGCAAGGATGACTCTGAACGCTCCAAGCTATCCAACAGCATCTCAAACTGATCACAAGGGATTTTTCAGGTGGACCTGTAAATTACCAAGGCAACCGAACAGTGGATGTCTGGAGTAACCATGCTTGTTCTGGTGGGTCTGTAAACTCGTTCTTCCCAGACCTCAGGACATGCACCCCTCGGCAAAGACAATGGTGCCAAGCACAGTCATACCAAGGACGAGAGAGAGACTCAACACGCCATCATTTCAAAGGCCACCAAAGATCAATCGTCTGGCTGTTACTGGCAAGGAGTTCACCCTAACCTTGACTGCGGACGCAGGTCGAGGGAGCTGTTGGATCGTCATTTTTTCAAAGGGCCAGTCATCTTCCCAGTGTTAAATGACAGTCAAGCCATCCAGAGGAGAATCGTCAAAGGGACACGATCACCAAGCTAGGAGACGATCAAGAAAAAAGGTGACAATACCCCCAAGTGGCGCAAAACGGATTGAGAGGGAGAGAGTTCTTGGCCAGCACGAAGAAAAATAGGTAGTGGATGAGGACAGCCAAGAAAGTCAACGAACCTGCTCCTCCTATGAGAAAAAACCGGCCAGAAAATAAAAAATACCAAAAAAAACAGAGACAGCGTCTAAAACAGGTGCCAACGAGAAATCCATACCGTAAGGGAAAACAGGGGAAAGGTAGCAACGTGGACTCCACCTTAAGGTATCACAGCCCACTGAAAGACGACCCGGGAAAATTCAGCAAAGCGAGACGGAGTGAAACGAGGTGTCGGATCCTTTGGAGCACAAGGTCTCCATCACGCAAGACATCCCGTTGAGTCAAGGAAGAACGGCGTTGGGACTGACTTGACCCGGTTTGTCTTCGACCAAACCGGCGTGGGCTCAGGTTCACATCACGGCCCAAGTCCCATGTCGTGTACGAAAAAAAGAATGTTTTACCTGCGATGGCCTGGCGTCGCGGCGTGGTGACGATGGTGGTGGTGGCACCTAAGTGGAACGAACAAAGGAAGAATGAGCAAGGGGTGGTAGGGGCGCGGGAGAATTCAACCGATGGGTTCCACTTACCGGATCGTCGTCGGGAGGACCGGAAGACGGTGGTGGCGGCGGCGGTGGATCCATGATCTGTAAGTAAACCCCATGGTAAGAATGAGCGTGTGGGGGGAGCAGGGGCGAGGGGACATTCAAACCATGAACTTCACTTACCCGACAACTGCCAACACAAGCGTCGAAAACGTACCAGACCCAACTCTTGTTGACAGTGAGGGCACGTGGGTGTAGGACGGGACGGAGTGACGGCCAAGGAGGCGTACAAACAGGCTTTATGGACCAGCACGCGGCAACAACCCCTCCAGTATTAATCGGTAGGTGCTAAGGAAGCTCTGTGCCAAATTTGACACTTTTGTCACGTCTGTAACGATCCGGCCTATATTTTGCACTAAGAGACCTGACTATTAGACGGTACTCAAGGCTGTCCATCTGACCAAAACAGGCCAGTCGCAAAGACGGAATGTAAATAGATACAAAAGGTTTAAGTATCCTGCTAGTTTAGACGTTCTCGGAGTGTATATTTCTTAGCATTGTGAACAAATAAATGATGTCACTGAAGTAAGATGCGGAATTTTAATTTCTCTTTGTGGAGCGAATCATAGGTCTAAATGACAATTGCCTTTTACTTCGACAAGATTCGGCTCGCTCAAGCGTTTTACTTACGAAACATTTGATGAAGTAAACAAAAGCCGGGATGGAAAGGAAATCGTGGTCATGGTAGTGGTCATTCACAGGGATAGACAATTTTTATTTGGGAGATTTTAAGAATATTTGAAATATATATACCCAAGGCCGAGATTTGCCCAACAAAACAAAGAAACCTGCACTAGCTTTAACCCAATGTTAAAAAAAGTGACACTTCGATGAACGGTACATAAAATACACATCTGTAGTATTCGTTCTGTAACAAACTGCAAAAAGTATGTGATAAATAAATTTTCGACAATCTTTTCGACATGTAGGTACATGTCAAAATCCTAAGTTACAACAAGCATACTATATGGGAGTTCTAAATAAAGGTCCTCGGGAGAAGAAGACACATGATTACAGTATCAACGTTGTTGTACCTTCTGTTAATAGCAACAAGTCGAGACTGAATTCGTTACACAGGGATGAATGTTGCAGGACCGGGAAGTTTAAATACCTTAGCATTGTAAACAGACAGTGGGTTCTTAAATAGCGAATTGTTAGGATACTCTTTAAACCACAAACCACTGCACACAAGCAAAACAATGTCCATACTGTTTCTTATCAATAACAAATGAATGTTCAAAAAAATAGTTCACTCGGCCCGGTATGCTAATTCCCAACGAAATTTCGCCTTCATCGCCGACCCATGACGCCATCACCCTTGCGTGCTTATAAAGGCGGCTTTCAGTACCAGAGCCAAAGCGCTCCTCGCCTACACAAAGAGACGAATACTTCTTGTACGTAGAGTTCAGAAAGGTTGTGGTTAGATCCAAATGTGGAGACAATGTATGTACTCCGCAACTGGACTATCTCATCACTATCAAAGCCACACGGGCGATACCGACTTGGGATGTTAATCACACTGAGATCCGTCCACGCATTGCAATTCGGTTCTAACGCGCCATTCAAGGCTCTCATCCAAGTGAGTGTTTTTTGAAAAAAAGGAATTGAGAAAAGGAAGCACAGAAATGTTTGGTCTTACTGGCCTGACATTTTTCGGGAATACTGCATAACTGAACCCCTTTCAGGTAAATACAGATTTAGCTGGGGGTGGGGTGGGGGAAGAGCTTTGTGACTTCTAAACATTAATATCTTTTGGAAACTAGTGGTAATCATTGATTACGGATCAGCGTTCGTCACTTACGGAAAAATTACGGAAATCCCTCGAGTCAAAAGAAGTCCAGCTTCCCGGCCGAGGTGCCCCTAAAAAAATTAATAGGAGCGGCTAATTTGCAGTCGCCCGTACTAGCTCGAAAATTTCTGCCTTAGTGCCACAGGAACACCAGATTAGGATGCGTTCTAACGAACGCGATAAAATGCATTTGTAATAAAATTTGACGATTTTTGTTATGATAACTAAAAGGTGATGCATCACAGTAGCAGTTTATACTGTTTCCGTGGCAACGGTTGCCTACTGAACTTCTAATACGCGTATATTACACTGGTTTGTATTGATGATCACCATCGAAGCATTTGCGATTTCAAAAGATCCTTACATCCCCATGACTTGGTCTTCCATTTCACACCTGGTTTTTTTCTTATCAAAAACTACTTTTAAGGCACACTTAAGGGGGGATATGATCCATTCTAATTTGACGCAATAAGAGAAAATGATGTCTAGCCTGTTTCGACGATCAAATTACATTCTTGTAAACATTCAACTCATAGATTTGAATACGTCAACTGGACAACCGATGCTAATTAGCGTTACCAATTCTGAATTTAACTGTCATTTTTATCTTCAGTATCGTCATCATTATCATCATCATCAATATTGTCATCACTATCATCATCTTCACTATCTTCCTTGCTAACACAATAATATTTACACAGTTATCTTGGCATGTACATGCCTCAGTGCGGGGAAGACCATTGCCAACACAAGAGCAGCGTCGTGTTTGACACAATCCTTTGCAGCCGCAGCATACAAGCACCATCACAGCATCGGGGGCTGGTGCCTGGTTAGTCCACTAGATTTCCAGTTGGCCTTCTTTCATCTGCCAACCATGGCCATCGGGCGCCTGGTTCGTTTGTGCCTCTAGGGCATGCTTCCAGAGGAAGGCCTGATAGTTAGCACGCTTGAGGTGGTACATGTATGTCAGAGCTCCTGTTGTTGGTGGAAGCTGGTGTGACTGCAGGTTTTTGCTCTTGCAGAACAACTTGTATCTGAGTTCGTTTACATCGTTGCATTTAGGGTCATTGTACAAGGCATATACAAATCGTTCCATCTTCGTTAAATCTTCTTCATTAGGAGGAAACCTCTCACCAAAACTACTGACAATTTTCCTTAGAGCTGGATTCAACTGTACAATATCAATTGCTTTCTTCTTTCCTTTGGTAGAAAAAGCACTGACACTATCACAACCGGTTATGGCATGATGGCTTGGAAGTACTTCACATATCTCTCGGCCAAGCTTTTCTCATACTTGTCGGATACTCACAATGTGAGATCTGCTTTTAGTGCCACTGATCAGTGTTATGTCAGCAGCAATGACAGCTTATTAATAGTAAGCTAGAACTTCTACATCTGTATCAGAAGACCTTATAGCAATGTGCTGATGTCCATGTTGAGAAGCATTATTTGCGTGGAGGAGCATCCTGGTATCAGCTTCCTCTTGATTGCTGCAAAGTTCCAAGACTGTGCATACAGTAATTGTACCATCANCAGCGTCGTGTTTGACACAATCCTTTGCAGCCGCAGCATACAAGCACCATCACAGCATCGGGGGCTGGTGCCTGGTTAGTCCACTAGATTTCCAGTTGGCCTTCTTTCATCTGCCAACCATGGCCATCGGGCGCCTGGTTCGTTTGTGCCTCTAGGGCATGCTTCCAGAGGAAGGCCTGATAGTTAGCACGCTTGAGGTGGTACATGTATGTCAGAGCTCCTGTTGTTGGTGGAAGCTGGTGTGACTGCAGGTTTTTGCTCTTGCAGAACAACTTGTATCTGAGTTCGTTTACATCGTTGCATTTAGGGTCATTGTACAAGGCATATACAAATCGTTCCATCTTCGTTAAATCTTCTTCATTAGGAGGAAACCTCTCACCAAAACTACTGACAATTTTCCTTAGAGCTGGATTCAACTGTACAATATCAATTGCTTTCTTCTTTCCTTTGGTAGAAAAAGCACTGACACTATCACAACCGGTTATGGCATGATGGCTTGGAAGTACTTCACATATCTCTCGGCCAAGCTTTTCTCATACTTGTCGGATACTCACAATGTGAGATCTGCTTTTAGTGCCACTGATCAGTGTTATGTCAGCAGCAATGACAGCTTAGTAATAGTAAGCTAGAACTTCTACATCTGTATCAGAAGACCTTATAGCAATGTGCTGATGTCCATGTTGAGAAGCATTATTTGCGTGGAGGAGCATCCTGGTATCAGCTTCCTCTTGATTGCTGCAAGACTGTGCATACAGTAATTGTACCATCAGAGGCAAAGAGTTTGGTGAAATTGTCTCCATCAGTGACAAAGAGAGTGTGCTCTTTGATTTTCTCGGCGTAGATCGCATTTTCTGACCACTCACGTGCAAGGAAGTTTGAGAGACCAGTTTTGTTACTTCCTTTTGCCGTGAACTTTTTCCACGACGAGGGCAGAACTGTTGACCATTGGTAATGTTGATGACTATCTCGCCATCTCTGCCTCGCTTGTTATTCTCGGTGTTTTTAATTGAGTTAGCTGTATATTGATCTCCTACAAAGTCGATTCTTGCTGCCCGTCCAGCCTCTATCAGAATTCTGGTCATCACCATGTCTACCAGCTTAGAAAATCTGTTAGGTATCCTTACTAGCGTCTGCAGCATCGCCATAGCGTGTATGATGACAGCTGTTGTCAGATCAGGTAAAGTAGGCAGGCATTCTACTCCATTTTCGAGAAGCTTGGAAAGAATGGCTTTGTTTGTCTTGGCTAATGAACCATCGGATGAAGCCAACGACCATGGAAGGGGACCAAGCTCGTGACTCAGCAAGTCTTTGAGGTCCATCTGGCAACTCTGTTCAATGACTAGAAGGCGGGCAAATAAGTTCCTCTCTGATCTGATTATGAAGTTCCTGTCTCCTGCTGTTACAGAGGTCTTCTTCTGTGCATCACGGAAACTTCCTACCTTTAGTTTGGGGAGTGTTTGAAAGAATCCTGTTGAATTTGTCACCAGTCTTTCTTCTACGAAAGCCGTCAAAGCTGTTGTGCCCTTCTCTTTTGCCAGGAGCAGGTCGGCCTTCATGCTTTCACTGGCAACATACCCAGAGCTAAG